CCGCCGAGTAGGCTGGCTCCGGTTGCTGGGCAGCCTGCCATGCCAGGAATGACTGTGCATCTGAGGTCAGCACAAAGCAAGACGGTGTAGCCGTTCTCTGGCTCCAGCTGAAACCTGACATAGCAGGGAGATTCTCCTGAAGCGGGTTCTGTCCTCCGCGGTGCTGGGGGAGCATCGGTGTGAAGCCTCTGTGAATGGCCTCCCAGACAGAAAGTTGGGCTCGCAAAGCAGGCCAGACATCGTCTCTGCTATATAGCTGCATGCTCCCCGCCAGCGCATGGTGACCCTGAAGCGTCCGTGCAGGAAGCGGGAGATCAAGCTGAGCCATCCACGAAAGCATAGTGACCTTCAAGCTATGCAAAGTGTAGTTTGCAGCTTGCTCCGGCTGCATACCTGACTCCTGCAGAAAGTTGCGGAGGCGCAGCAGGGTTTGGGCGTAGGAAGCGGGGCTAAAGCCTTGTGTGCCCATGGTGAAGAAGAAACAGTCTGGTGTCACCTGGCGGCCGAAGCTGGCACGAAGCCCCTGCCAAGTGCTGTCCAGAAGCAGAATCCAAGCGCTCAACCAGTTCATGCCAAATTCCCGCGAAGAAGAGTAAAACCCGAAACCCAGGAAAGCGAACGGGGCTCCCCTCTTGGTTGTCTTTGTGCGGTAGCATATCCCACGCAACGTGAAGTGGCTGATGCAAAGCGAGCTCCACGAGATATGCTGGGCATCTGAAAAGCGTAAGCTACCGCCAATACAAGCGAGGAAGCTTCCTGCCCATAGTGCTTCATCCTTGGGGGTGTCCGAGCCCAAGACCTTGCGCTCCAAGAAGGCATGGAACGAAAGCGGCAGTGGCATGCTTTCACGTTTCTCACCTGAAGCGGGCTGCACCAGGGAAGAAAAGGCTGCACTGTAAAGGTCGGGAAAGGGTGATAGACCCAGAAGCTTCCTGTACCACCTGAGGGCTTTCATCACGTTAAGTGAGTTCGAAAGTGGTCCTTCCTCGGGGCAGCGGGATAATACGAAAAACGTATCCAGAAGGAGGCCTGTGTCCACCTGCCGAATGTTGCCCCCAAGCTCCTCGAAAGTGGTGAAAAATATCTGCACCGACCTGAGGTAACGTGAAGCGGTACTGTCGCTAACCTTGGCCAGGAGCTTGCCCCGGAGAACTTCGCTATAGCGGCTGGCAGCGATCTGCCCCAAAACTGGGCTGATCTCAAAATGCAGGTCGCAAAGTTGCTCAAACAGCAGGTTGTTGCGCTGAGCTAGGTCGTCATGAAGATCCTTGGAGCGTGAAAAACCCGCCTCCTTGACCTTGGGGCGCGGGGCTCGAAAAGCGACTGCCTTGGTATCCAAAGCACCTGGGGGCTCCACACGAGGCTGCAGAAGAGCTGGAGTGGGGCACTGCAAAGTGGATGTCAGTGGCTCTGAAAGATTCTGACTGGGGTACCTTGCATAAGCCTGAGCTTTGGAAAAGGACGGCGCGGGCGTAGCCTCAGAGCTCCAAGAGACCCGTTCACGCTGCTGAGGGGACTGCGGGGCCCACCGTGTCTGCGCCTTGAACTGAGGGCACGAACCAGTAGGTTTGGCAACAGGCTTGGGCTCCGGCTGATCCACCTGAAAAGGGGAGTTGAAACGAAGACACACTGTTGGTCGCTGCCAGGCTTTGGGCTTGGGAGTGGGTAGAAGCAAGCTCCTGGCGGGAGGAGCAAGCGAACCGGTGTCTTCTGCAGGACAGAAATTTGCAGCTAAGAAATCCTCTCCATCCGAAACGGACTCCACGTCAAAGTGAGGAGCAAGAATCGGGGCCACCAAGTGCCATGAACTAGCCGCCCCCGAGGAGCCAGGCGAATCCTCCATTGGTAACAAAGCCGTTGGCTGCGTTTTCGCCGAAGCGAGTTGCCAGCGACGGCGCATCTTGCTGATCGGCTCTGACCTCTCCCTATCCGAAGTGGGAGAAAGCGCCCGGGCTGAGACCGAGACTGCTGTCGCCGCCGTAGAGTCGATTTCCTGATAGGGGTCGCTCCGAAGCGGAGGACCTTCGGGAGCGGACATCAAAACCAGATCTGCAGGCGGGCAACTGTCTCACCAAGCGTGTCCTTAAAGATGGAAATCAGAGACCGAAACCTGACGGCCAATTGCTGTGTCTTATCCTCCAAAGTGGAGACCTTATCTGACAGAAAAGGCAGCCAGGAACGTCCTTGTTGCAGTTCCGCCTCCAAGCGGCGGAGTCGCCCGTGCAAGCGGGAAATCTCCAGCCTCTGGGCTGCCACTTCTGCCTCCAAGTCGAAGGCTCGTTCGGAGGACGCCCTGAAGTCCGCCGAAAGCAGGAGGCGAGCAGAAGGCTGAGGCTCGCGTTCCATGCAAGCGGACCGACCTAAAGGGTGTAGATTAAAGCTGCTGAAAAGTAGTCCTGACAGCTCACCAAGCTAAGAGAAGCAGAAGCTAAAAAGCAAAACTGAGCTAAGCAAAGCTGTGTTGTTGCTGTGGTGGTCCCGCTCGAGCAGCTGTTACAGGCGACGGGACAGGACTTTACCAAAACCCTCCTGAGTGAACACAGTGACCGTTCATGGAAAGTCCTACACCACGCAACTAACACCAAGGCTAGCTATTGCGAGCAGTAGAACAAAGCGGA